AGAAATTTATATATATATATATATATATATATATATATATTATTAGTATTAATAATATTATTGATAAATTAATATTAGTAATATTATTAGTATATTTATAGATGAACTAATAATTTAATAAATATAAATTATCATATTAATATAATTTTATAAAAGCATAAATATATTATATGTATAAATATATTTGAAAAATATTAACTAGAAATACATGATAAAAGAAATAACTTTTTTATTGAAATATAAAAATTAGATGTTAAATACTTAGGTCATATATTTCTAGTTAGTCTTCTTTTAATATTTATATTTATGAAACTATTAATAATATACTAATAATATTAATGTGTATATATATATATATATATATGATGTTTTTAATAATAAAAAATAATATATTTTTAAATTTATTTATAATAAATATATTTCAACTTTCATCATATATTAAAGAAATTTATTAGCTTAATAGTATTATGCAACCTAAATGTTAAGGATCTAACACCATTTTTTTTAAATGATATTTTTATTTTATTTTTACCGATCACACCATCACACAATATTATTACAACCATATCATGTGTTATATCGGCACAATTCATTAGCTTTTTAATAATAAAAAATTGACACCATAATTAAAGTCTTATAATTGTGATATTTAAAAGGATTTGATTTGCTCAACTGAAGTTTAAAAGACTAAAATTACATGATTGAGATATTTGAAAGATCAAAATTTTAAGATATAAATTATATTTGGTTTTCATTTCTCACAAAAAAAAGAGAAGAGAAGCAATTGACACACTTCTTAAATAATAATAATAATAATAATAATAATAATAATAATAATAATAATAATACATAAAGAAGTTATTTACTTTAAGAGTAAATCTACAAAAACTATTTCATTCAATAAATCATGTTTTACATTAAGTTTCAACAATCCAATCATTGAATTTAAAATTCTTAATACATATTTCAAGTTTATAAATTTGTAAAAATTTTAAAAGTATTTGATACTTCGTTTCATTAATTCAAATTGACAAATAATGATAAAAATAATTTATATGTTGATTTGAATTAATTAAATAAAATATAAAATAATTTTTTATTTTTTTAAAAGTTTGTAGACTTGATCTAATTATTAACACATAATATTCTAAAAAGAAAATGAAAAAACTAAAATAATGAAACAACTATTATTTACTTTTTATTAAGATTTACCATTCACATACAAAAGCACTTAGGAGCATTTACTAAATAAATTTTTTTCAAAATCATAAATATTGAGAATCATAATTCTTATGATTAATTAAAATTCATTTGGTTAACCATAAATATTTTTTTAGAATGTTTATAATTATTACTTATAAATATATTTTTTTTACTATATTAAATACAAAAACAAAGGTAATATGACATCTTATCAAAGTAAAACTTTTCATTTAACTCAAAAATATTAGATTCTCACTTCCTTCATAGAAACATTTTTGTCAAATATAGATAAAAATCATTCTCATAGAACATTGTTTTCTTGAAATTTTTTTTTAATTAGTAAACCAAATTGTAAGAAGCTAACTTTCTCAACTTCAAGTTCTTAAAATGTTAAAAAAAACTCATTGTACTAAACATGTTAGATTTCATCGTAAAATCAATTGGTATAAAATAAAGTCGTCCTACAGATATTACAAAGTGAGACCTCCCAACACTCCCTCCCCCTTTCCATAGATGTCTACTGATCAGACAATACCCATGAAAATAGACAAACTAAGAAAGTGGATTCTAAACTCTGACGTTATTAACGTTCATTTAAAAATCAATTGATATTAAACGAAATTGTCCCACAAATATATGAAACACATCGAGAATTGAGATAGATGATGTAAAATTTTCCAACAAAACGTCTCCTGAGTGTTCTATCTTTCAGAGCCCTCTTCAATTAATTTCCGAGGATTAAAATTAGAAGATTGTGTTGCAGAAAATTAGACATGCCATCCAATAATAACAAAAGGTTGTAGAGAGAAAAAAAGGTATGGATGTTACATAGCTCTAGAAAATGAATGCTGATAACCAAGTCCTATACCAAATGAGAAATTTTTATTAGCCTTATGTACAAAGGACCAAAGTATTAGTCCTTGGTAACCCTCAAAAAAGACCACCTTCTAATGTAACAAGGATACATTAAGCCACAGATCCGTGTCAACCAGCTCATACTGGATTCTGTAAACCAGAAGGAGCAAATGAGCAATGAGGGAAACACCTAGAAAGTAGAAACCAAGGTTTTTTTTGCACTTCTAACACCTTAGTACATAAATGGAATGTGGTTGAGACACTAGCCAACCTTGGTTCTACAAAATTCAACCCATGGCTCTCATCTATCTTTGATAAGGCACTTTTCTGAGTGTTGTTGGCCATTCCTTGTTTTGATCTCAGCCATGCATCACTTTTCTTCTACAAAATGTTTACTCCATCAATCCCTTGGGGATATGCAATGAACTGTGAACTTTCCCTACCGACTTACTTCAACATGACGTTCTTCGCCATTGCTTTTTCCCTTTCTTCTGACTCAATTTGAATGGACTCCAACTCTTCCTGCGTTTAGAAGTCTCACAAAAGAGACCTGATGCCAGAGCCTGCTGAAGCCACAGGTCGAATGCCTCTTCATCTTCATCCATCATCATTTCAGCGTCCAAGTCCCATGGGAATCTACTCGAGTTGCACCGCTGGCTTTTCTCCAAGCCAACCATGTTTACATGGAAGCTCGGTCGATGGGTATTCGGCCTACAAGCCATTCCCTGAAAGAAATGAAGTATTCTGTCAGGTACATGAAATGGAATATAAAACAATATTTTTTATAACCATGTTATTAGTGTGAAATATCCACTATATCAGTCACATGAAGTGGAGTAAAAAACAATCCTTTTGAATGAAGATTTCTATTTTCAACAAAAAGAGAAAAAAAGTCGCTCCAATCACTCGTAATCAGATGATTAGGAACTCTGTAATTTTGTAACATTCACCTTCAACAATAACCAAAATGCAATATCGGTGGAATTCTAATAAGTTGGAATACATCAAAGAATGTAATGATTCCCACTCCTCACTATCATACTTAACGAACACTACTTTGCATTTCTACCGCCATATTAGGCACTAAATGAGGTAAAGATCATTATATGTACACCAAGAAATGCCGTCTGTAGGGTACACTGACCTGACATATCGCCCATTCTGACACATCAAAAATTTTGCTCTCAGCACAAACAAAAGCACGTGGAATCTCCACCTATGAAGACAAGATCATAGTTTAGAAACCAAATGCAAACAATGTAAGATGAAGTCAGGAAAACTACTTGCTATGCACAATCTACCTTTTGAGGCCTGTCAAAAACCAAAGACCCTTTATACTCAACCCATCCATCTCCATCCTTGGCTTGATGAAACTGACAGCAGTCCTGTTTCCGGAGTAGTAAAATTCAGAAGACAAAGTAAGCATAATAGAGAAAGGGGAAAGCATTTAATAATCAATATTTAAGGGAAAGAAATCAGACCTGACACCATCTTGCTTTGGCCTTACTCCTGTTAGTACATACCCAAATATGTGAATTCCCACACTTGGTGCACTGTATTCGTCTGGATTCTTCAGAACGATAATCGGTATTATCCTAAGGAAAATACATTACATGTATCATCACTACTTTTATAATATAGATCATCAATCAGCCAAATAATTGAGCAAACCAAGTACACTCATGCAATATATTGATGTCCTTCCAAAACCATGTTATCATGAGAGGTGATTTTGATGGTCAGACCAATCCTCTTACCGCATTGGTTTATATCTAATTTGAACACATGTCTTCATTCTTTGCTACTCCCCCCTTCCTTTATATAAGAAACAAATGGCTACATTTTTTTTGTCCTAATTATAAGAAACAAACACCTACTTTCAGATGTATAAATTGTTGATTTCCTTTTATACCCTGATGCAATTGGGTGCATTTATTGATTTATTTACAATACAAGTTACACCCATTGATGGAAAAAAATTATCTCTTGAATTAGGTGAAGTGTCATTTAATGCAACCACTATTTAAACCAATCAATTCAAAGAGTGTTTTTGGAATAAAATTTAATTCTATGATATTATTAATGAAAACTAACTATCTTAACTATTATTATTGGTTTTGATAAATTAGTTATTTGTTTCCTATATAGAGGACCAGAGAGAGTATTATTTTACATCATGAAATCAGTTGTAGTCCTTAAGTGAACTCTTATACTCCCTCCGGTCCTTTGTATAAGAAACAAATAACTAATTTATCAAAACCAATAAAAGGTAGTTAAGATAGTTAGTTTTCATTAATAATGTCATCGATTAAATTTCATTCCAAAATACCCTTTGAATTGATTGGTTTAAATGGTGGTATCATTAAATGACACTAGACCTAATTCAAAGATAACTTTTTTCACCAATGAGTATAACTTGTATTGTTAATGCATCAATAAATACATCCACTAGCACGAGGATATAAAAGAAAATTAGCAATTAATACATCTTAAAGTAGGTACTTGTTTCTTATAATTAGGACAAAAAAAGTGGACCCATTTGTTTCTTATATAAATGATTGGGAGGGAGTATTTGATTATTTGAAAAATGTCAAACTTCTCAAGAGTCATAAAATTGTAATACCTGGAATCAAATGTTGTTGTTCAATATAAGCTACTGAAAAGCTTGCAAAAAAGCTACTTTTAAGCTCCTTTTTTCTTTTTACCTTTTCTTTACTATAAATAAGCTCCGTTTTTTATGAGCTTTTGTCAAAAAGTGTTTGGATTAACTTCTCCTTAAAAGGACAAGGACAAGGACAAGGACAAAAATAGCTGGAACAAACACTATGTATGTATTTTTCACTAACCCACTGTGAACCAGTTATTCGAAGGCCTATTCTATAACTTATTTGAACCAAAGACTTGACTGGTTTTCAGGAATAAATGAAAAAACATTGTTGAAAAATCTCTAAATTTTTCTTTAATTGTTCTATAGGTAAGCCATAATGTATGGGTCGTGTAAATGTGAGAATACTATGTCTAAACAAATAAAGGAACAATTATTTAGTAAAAAGAGGATGAAGGAAATTCTCAGCTTTTAGAAACCATGTCCATGGAGTTAAAAACTACCAAAAAATTCTTGATTTCAAAAATCAAAACTACAACATGTAAGATGTGTGGACTGAATATACACAGAACCTGAGAAGAATATGTCTGTCATTTACAAGAATATCATCATATTTACCTGATGTGAACTACTATGGGATCTCTGGCAGACACTTTTAGCCATGGATTCTTCTTTCCTTAATTGTTCATCATAGTCTCGCTTCTTCACAGAATCAGAAAGAACCTGGAAGTTTCATATAACTTGTTAATGGGAGGAATAAATGTGAGCAAAAATTACCAGTTTTACACATTATGTATCACATAACCATTAAGTGCTAAACTATCAACTACAAGAGAGTATCCATGTTTTACAATTGTGTATCAAATAGCCATTAAGTGCTTATCTATCAACTACAAGAGAGTCTCTGCAGCTTATAGTTGGAGTTTACCTCATATGCACATTGAAGCTTCTTAAATGACTCACTTGCCAAAGAACTGCCCATATTTTTATCAGGATGCACAAGCATAGCCTACATCATTAAAGAAAAAAATGGGAACATTACATATACAACATCAGATCAGACTATCAGGATTCAGGATGTAAGAGGGTTTTTCCTTTTTACATTTCATTTCTAAGTTATGTTTTAACCAAAAATTACAAAAAGGTGCATCATGTTGCTTCTTGTTTTCAGGATTTCGAGAAGTAAATGGTGAAAACAGAAAATAAAAAATGAAGACATGGTGGCATTTTTGTAATTAATAAATCAGATGAACGATAACAGAAAACAAAACAAATACTCTTCAAGTAAGGTAGTAAACACAATCGGCAATATATCTTATTCCTCATACATTGCAATACAATACTGCTTAAACACATACCAGCAGCCCAAATAAATATTTTCACAACATTGAAGCAAAAGAAAACTAAACAAATACCTTTTTCCGGTATTCCTTTTTCAAAACTACTGCATCAATCTTCTTGTGGCGGGTAAATCCAAGAGCGTCATAATGATTCAGACTCTTCAATATCCTTTTCATTTCATCAGTTGAACTTGTTGTTTGTTCTCTAACAACTTTGTTAACAGAAAGTTCTTTCTTGTTATCAACAACTGATGTGGTAACAGCAGGTTTACTGGATGATTTACATGAATGCAAATTCTCAGATTCATCAGTAGGTATAGGATATTCACACTCTTCAGAGAAGTCATCTTCCACAACTGTTTCTGATTGCTTCTGCTCTTCAGAATGCGAACTTTCACTCACATTATCAAACCATTGGAGCAGAAAATTCAAAATGTCATTAGAGAGGAATGCAAGGTTTATAGCAAGAAAAACACCCAGCCATCCCACTCGTACTTGAACACAGTATATAGCATATATAGTTCCGACTAATACCACCAAGCGTGCATGGTTCAGGGAGAACAAATAACCTGCAAGTGTATAATTGAAAGCAAAATTTCAGGCTTACAAAAGGTTAAATGTTCAGTTAAGCCAGCAAGAATAGAAGTCTTGTATTGCCCTCATGGAATGTCAACTGAACTCAGTTCTATTCCAATGATATCCAATAACACATTTCAGAGTCATGCAGCCAGTAAATATTAGCCAAGCCTCTTGATTATAGAAATATTAGTCAAATGAGGAAAGAAAAATAGGACAATGATGGGAATCATAAACACAACTGAAAAATATAAAATAATAAGCAACATGCCTCCTTTCCTCTCTTATTCTGGCCATTGGGAGAATGTATATTGTAACACAAAAGCCAAGAAAGAATATCATACCTCCAACTATGAGTAATGTTCCTGTTATCCAGAAGTTAGCATACATCCACAAAATAAGGATGGCAAAAAGCCCTACTATAAAAAGCCCAGGAGTATAACCCAAGTATTGAACAGCAACTCCAGCAACACCCTGAAGCATTCAATTGAACTGTGAGAAGCAATGTATAAAATTTTCTATGCAAAATTATTTGTTACTGAATTGAACTGAAGCAACCGAACAGAAAACAACTACGAGTCCCAATTTAAGATGGTAGTTAACTAGAGATCCATCAACACTAATGCAGTCCAACCTTCCTCTTAAACTAACATTTAAACCAATGTCCAATTGCCAACAGAACCTAGAAAATGAATAATTCAATTCACAACAGAACCTTGAAACGTATTTGGATGATAAAATTCTTATAGAGCATTCAAACATTTTGCAATGACTATTAAAACCCAATAGTGAGCTCCATGTTCGAAGTAACATTTTAAAATGACTAAAAAGGCAATTGTAAAAGTCATCCCATCATAACACTAAATGATAGACCAACCGCCAATATTCAAAAATTGCTATTCAACCGAAGTAGATAATATAATTACTCAAAGAACAGCTAAATGTAAAAATAAGGGCAAATTACACTAGCAAGGTTGCACCCCCCAAGGTTTAGCAAAATTTCGCCTGATATTCTCCCCTTTTTTTACCCTACACACACCTCCCGTAATTTATATAACAACATAACATTGTATACCATTCCCTTTGACACATACCTCCACTGATTTCTTATGCAGTTATATAAATCGAAGGAGAACAAAGTAATGTCAAAAGAGAAGAGGGATATCGGGTGTAATTTCATGAAACCTCACGAGTGAGTGTAATTTTCCCTAAATAAATAACTGGATGACAGACCTAGACACACAGATCAGAAAAACAAAACTGCAAGATGAAAACTTGGACAGGTTGAAAAAAAAGGCATACCATACTAAGAAGCACGTAAACCAAGCAATACATCGAGGTCAGACTAAGAAAGCAGCTCCACATTATAAGCAGAAGCATCACAGGACCAAACCTAATGAAGGACTGAAAGCCCCTAAGAGCAGAATCCTTCCAGAAAATCAATGACAACCTCAGTAAGCTCCCCAATCTGGAGCAACCCCGGCACACCATAGGCCAATGCCGTTCAATGAACATAGCAGTCCTATCTCTGCACCATGTCACCGCGGTTCGAGCACGCCAGCCGGCGTCCTTCTGCGACCGAAACCATTGCCAACACTGCTTGAACAACCCTATGTCCTCCATCACCAAGGCCTCCTCAAATTCCCCAGAATCTTGGTGAAACCTCACTTCTATGCCTACAACTTAAACCTCATCATCATCATCCTAAACAAATTGCTAATGCTATTGACACCCATCACCACCAATCCAATGCTCCATATATCCAAACCATTGTGACCCTAAATCATCAATGCCATCCATAAAAAAGTAAAAAATCACCTTGATCTACCAAAATACACTGCAAATAAATAAGGCCTGCCACTCCAACTCCCTACATTAATCAACCAAATTCACGGGTTTCACAAGTCCAATGGCTCTCCTCATCCAAAAAGTGAAAGAAGAAAAAAAACACAAAACCCCACTATTGATAAGATCAAAAGAGAACATTCTGTGAGTCCATGAGAGCACTAAATACAATCACGTTCAAAAGGGGGTAAATTGCTTCCAAAATAAGCCTCCCAAAAAGCAACCACTGTTCACAGAAGCCCCACAAAAACAAAAACACGCACTCAAAGCAACAGTTGAATAACAAGATAAAAATTAAAAGCCCTCTCTTTTTGACAAAAACAATACGACCCCTTTCCCTTTTCCACGCCCCCACTTGAACTCCAGCGCTAGCAGCCTCGACCCTTTAACGGGTTCAAGACCTAGCACTGCAGAATGGGGCGAAAACCACCGAAAGGAACGAACTTGAAGGTGGCCCAGAAACCGTGGAAACCCTAAAACAAAAGGGTATGAGCCATTTTAGGAGAAGAGCGAGTTGAGACTCCGGAGCACCCACAGAGAATGAGGAAAAGGAGAAGGGGACTATTGGATTTTCTGCAGAGGAAGAAAACCTTGGCTTTTCCCTTCTGATTTTTTTGTTTAATTTTTATTCCTCTCTCAGGGATTGCTTGTGAAAAAAAGAGTGAGTTTGTAAAAGTTTCAAAAAGTTTCGTAAAGGGTGGGGAGGAGTGAGAGAGTTGTTTTTGTTGCAGAGGAGGAGAGAGAAAGAGAGAGAGAGGAATTGACATCATTTTTTAAAAATATTATTTGCTTTTATTTTTGTCCAGAAATATTATTTGGTTTGCTTTGTGGATTAGGGCTGGAGAGGTGTGTAATAATGAGGAAGTGGGGTCCATCACACAACATTCAATTTTGTAATTCCATAATGTTTTTATGTTACAAATTTAATTCTTAAAACCTCTTCTTCAACTTATACTAGATTATCTTGTCAAAAAAACATATAAATTTATCAATAATTTATATTTTTTTAAATTAAAATTTCATCTTCTTAATTTTTTACTTAATTAATATATTTCGTAGTAGAAGTATTTTCATGTAAAAAAAAAGTAATTAATATAATACATAATTTGAATTGAATCTTATAAAAAAAATTAAGAGGCATTAATATCAAATCCTATGTAATACTGCTATTTATTAGTTGACGGGTAGTTTGGCTTTAGAAAGGGAGGAAAAAGATTTGAACTAATTCAAATTCGACCATCAGTGATTCTTATTTAAAAAAAAAATACTATTCCACTAAAATATTGTCATAAATAGAAAAAGCATAAATTAAAAGAGAGATTTCAGTAAGCAACCAAAGTACTATAATTGTGATGTTCCAGGAAAAAAAAAAAAACACTAATTATGGTGATGAAAAATGTTCTACCATGTGCATCAGATTTCCTCAAATGCTAATGATTCCCCTGCATGCTTGGATGACATATATACACTTTATTAATGTCATAGATGTTGTGAGGGTTAATTGAAGACCAAAACAAAAATTACTAGTCACACTAACTGTGATTGCAAATGTATTACTTAGATGTGTGAAAAAAATTTAAATTAATCTGATCTGATTCATAATCGATTTAATTCGTATTGAAAAATTTGATTCATTTTGAAATTTTTTTTTAAGTCAAACCACTTTATAAAATCGATTCAGTTATCCGATCCATTTCTACAAAGTGAATTGGTTTGGTTTGGTTTTTTTAGAAAATTGATCTATATATGAGTAAAAAGTGGATAACTGCACCGCACTAAACCGATCCATATTTTAAAAAAATCAAACTGATTCATTTTTTATAAAATGAATCAGTTAACCGATCCATTTTTATAAAACGGTTCGATTCAAATTTTTCAAAAAATCGATCCATAAACACCCCTAGTATTACTTTCAAATTTGATTTCATCATATTAAAATAATATTTAATTAATAAAAAATACATTTTTATTATGCAGATTATGTTTGTAAAAATGAAAATAAAAAAGAAGAAGAAGACACTCGTGAGAATGTTGCAGTTAGTGTTAGCATCAGTTGCAGCTATTGGAACAATCACTGGTGATGGTGTCGCAAAAGTGGGGTTAATTGGTTGGTTGGTGGTCAAGCCTAAGATTTTGAAATAATTCGATTGTTAAAAAATGTTGGTTCCAAATTTGTTAAATAATCACCTTAAGCCTTTTAATAGACCAACTGGTATATATATTTTAAAAATATTACAATTAAGGTTTAATGCTTTAAATAATAGCAATAATCACATTATTTTATTTGCGTTTACTTAAATTGACTAGCCTATTTAAGATTTTTAAAATGATATTTTAACTAAATAAATAAATTAAAGGGATTTATGTATGGTCAAAAGGGAAAGGTATATCAAGTATAATTCAATAAGTGTAAGATGTGTCAATATAATTTGTCCTTTTAAAAAAGCATTATCCTAACTTAATTATTCTGTAAATAACTTTAGCCAGATTTAGGCTTCATGTCGGTCAAACCAAACCATAGACCCCTCATAAGCCGCAAAGACTAATTTGATTCCTAATTGCCTTTTTTCTTTTTAATTTTAAAGTTACTCATAAATCACAATGTATATCAAATTAATGTCCAAAAATTGGTTGTGATTATATATAGATGTGTGTTCTTTCCAAAAAAAAAAAGAAAAAAGAAAAGTAAAATATATTCCATTTTTAAACTCTTTAAAGTTACATATACAACTCACATCATTACCTACTATCAAGCCTAATTAAAAATGGTAATTCCCAAGGTTTGATCATATAGATGAGGTTATGACTCAAAGAAAGAAACAAAAGATGATTAATATGAAAATGTGTTAGATGAGATACCCACCAACTATTGGCAATTAAAATGATCATTTATATGTTTTTGTCATATTTGAACACTAGGAGAGAGAAAGGGAACATGGTAGCTGAATTTAACTTTTGGTAAGTAAGGAAAGAAACAAATGATGAGTAACATGGAAATATGGTAGGTGAGTTACTAACTATGGGCAACTAAGGGAATAAATAAATTATCAATAATATACTAAAATTATGTAAAGATTTAAACAAACAAAAAAAAAGGAATATCTATATCTATAACTACTACCGTAAAAAAAATATATATATACATTACAAAATAAAGTGATATTTTGAATTACAATTACATGTTTAAATCAAATATAAATTTCAATCTTTTTCATTTAAGAAATCTAAATACTAAACTTGTTGAACTAACAACTTTTGATCACACTTATGATTTTTATTTAGTGCATTTTTTTCTTCTAAATATAGTAAAGCCTTTCAACTAAGATTTATGGGAATTTTAAGGTACAAAAATTTAAATCAAATAAGTATAAAAACTAACAAACCTAAGAGTCTCCTCAATATGCTTAATCCATCAATTCATCATGGTCCAAATTCTTCGAGTCCCTTGTCATTCTTTCTTTTGAATAAAAAAAAAGTATAATAATATTCTATTTAAAGATCTTGTTTCGATTAAATACGCTTCTAAGTCAACCCTCTAGGTTATCCAACCTAATCTGCATACATAAACATGGAATTGATTTATATATTGCATCACATACATATTACTTGTGTATTATAGAGGTATTTATAAAGTGACCAATGAAATCTAACTAAGTTCATTAAACACAGTGTGTAAGTATTGTATTATATTGTATGAAATCTAACTAAGTTGGATCTTAAATATATGAATGCATGAATCTAATATATAGCTGAATAAATAAAAGTAGTGTATTACATGAAACAATTAATATCCTGTATAACATTATACACAATAATATATACATAAGGACAAAATAATTACTTATATAATTTTATAAGTGCATTATTATAGGTTTAGTTAAGTAATTAAGTTCTTGAAGAATAATTTTCAAATAGACCCTCACAGTGGCAGCCAATAATTAATGTGCAATATAATGATAATTGTATGTATCCCATATTAACACTAATTTTGTATCTGTGTCTCTTGTAACGGGTTGGAGTACCCCTTGTACTCTCTTTAATATAAATCTCTTTTGCTTATAAAAAAAAAAAAAAACTCTAATATATATTAATAATTAAATAATTTTTTCTTACATTTGGAATCTTGGTACTTAGTCAAATCGCCATCACTTTGCAAAGTAACTTTCATTCCATCAGGGTGCCGTGACGCATCACAGTTTATGAGCAAATCCACATTCCCAAAGTACATAAATTCTTAAGCAATAAGCACTGTCCTTTTTATTTTTATCTATAAAAATTATAATTACAAATGCAGGACTCGAGCTTTAATTTTGTACATAACATTAAAGAACCCTAATAATTTAAGTCAATTATTTTATAGATAAATAATTGTTGAATTTTTATCGTACATTGATATTAAATCTGCTTTACATGTTGAATTTATTATTATTGTGTGTGCTATTAAATATGTGCATGATGTTTAGTTAGAATATGATTCTAAATTTGTTATGGATGATTTTGAATATATCTAAATTGTTTCATGGCACATTCGTGGTAGATGATAGTATTATTTCTCACTTTATTTGCATATATATATTTTTTATTTTCATATTTATAGAGAAGAAAATTAATGTTTAGATATAAATTAGTTAATTTTGATTTAAAATATAATTTTTTTTTTATAAATGGTGGTTTGTTATTCTTTTTATTTTAGAGTTTTTTTTTATAATCGTTATGATTTATCTTTTTTTCGTTTTTGTTAATTATTACATAATTTTTTTTTGTATATTTTCATAGAAAGTAATGATGTTTGAGTTAAATATAATTGTTATGAATGATTTTTTCTTCTTTTAAATATTTAACATAATTATATATTTAAAATTCAAAATTGAGATCACCTCCTTTTAAAGATTACATAATTTTTTTAATTCGTTTTTGGTCCCAAAATTTAATGCAGCTAAATACACAAGACAAAATTCGAACCCCTAACCTTATTTAAGCGTAGATCAACTCCTACCGCCGAAACATAGGATAATAATATTGATAGAGTTTCCAAAATTTCAATGGTTTTACTTTTCTAACTGTTGAGACCACCAACAATAAAGAGATTGATTGTAACCACTTCATCCCAAAATAGGTGAAGGAATTTATTCTCTCAATGTTTGTCAGTATCCTCAACTTGATACTTAACAAAACAGTCCTTGTCACCCACGTGATCATAAAGAAAAGATTTCTCAATCCCCCATAACCCTTAACCCTTTTTAAACTTGTAGTTTTTGCATTCAATAAAATCAGAACCAAACTTAGAAGGCATCATTAGTTTTGTCTCTTCTCTTTCTTACTCCATTTATTATACAAGAGTGGTGTTTCTTACACAAACTTTATCTTTAAATATTCTAATAACGTAGATTCATTTGAATCCTTCAAGAAAAAGGTATGATACCATCCAAGTTTTATCCAATAGCTTGCACGGACTTTGTTCTTATACATATTCTAATGTGATCTTTATGATGGGTTTGCTCATAGTACAAGTATAATTTATCCATAATAAGATAAAAGTTTAACCGTGATACATTATCAATTCATTGACTAATGATAAAAAAATGGCTATTAACCGATGATGTAAAATTGTGTTACACTGTTATTTAATTATAAAATATCATTTATAAGTTTGTTAAATTTTATAATATTTAACTTATAAGTTATACCAATACTAAATTTTAACAATGCATAATCATCAAACTATTAACTAATTAGGATGCAATTATAGATAAAACTTATAAACTATATAAGAAAAGAGTTAAAAATGTATAAGTTAATTAATTAAATTAAAAGTGATTAATAAAATTAGTTGATAAATTAAAAGGTGTATATTTGATTATTTGAGATTGAAAAAATTAAATAAATTAATAGATATAAAAAAGAAGGAAAAAAACTAGTTGCAATTTATAAAATTAAGCCAAAAACTACTAAAAACAAGTTTCAAGCCAATTAATTTATTAGCTCTTTCAATAATTTATCAAGCATATTAATCACCTTTTTATCTTGAATTTGGTGAGTTCCTGAAATTCAATTTGTCTAAACTTTTCACAACAAAAAAAATTATATTGAACATGAGTTTTAAAATGACTATTATTTTAAGAAGAGAAGGATTCAAACGACATTAGTGTAACTTTTATTAAGTATTTACACCGTTCAATAATTTTATATTAAATGTGAATTTTATAAATTCAATTGTTAGATTGAAAGTTTTTTACTCTTAGATCATATATACAAAATTTTATATTAATCCAAGATGATTTGAGAGTTCATTCTTATAGAATAAAATTAACATAGTATATACATTTTAAAATATAATAAAATACAATCATTTTATTTCTTTCAAGTTGTTTAATTTTTAAAAAAAATTGATATAAATATATAAAGTAATATGAAGTTAATAAATAATTTTTAATTATATGAAAATTTATAATTGGGTAACAATAAGGGATTCTAATTAAATTCGTAAAATAAAAACAAAGATCAAGAAATAGAAACAATTCCTAGGTAATCCATCTTTGATTTCATTATAGGCTTTGAAGTCTGAAGACCCAATTTGAGAGGCACGTGCTTGGCGAGGTTCAGTTAGTAAACGGCCCCTTATGTTTGTTAGGTTATTTATTTCCTGTGAAATGGTGGTTAGGTTATTTATTTTGTACAATAATGACCTTATTTAAGAACTATTTTAGAAAATTCAGTCTAATTTTATTATTTATTTATAAATTACAAAAAATGTCATCTTATTTTTTTTCCTTTCCTTTTTTATTTTCAACAGTTTATGTAAGAAACAATAAAAATAATGAAAAGTTATTCTTATTATTTTCTATCCAAATCTTTGAAAATGAAAAATAATTTTTTTTATAATTAGGAAATAAAATAAGAAATGAAAATAATAAAAAAAAAGACTTATTCCCAATATAAGCAAACCTTAGACACCAATTAAAAACATCAATAAATATATCTTTCTTTTAATATAATTCAATCCTCAAAACCAACACTTAGTCCTTGACAAATACTTCCTCCATCTCAAAATGACTTCACCTTTATATTTTTTAAGAACAAATTAAGAATAATAATAAATATATCACTCTTTATGTAATTTTACTAAAATAGTTTGACACTCTCAATAAATGTATTACTTTTTCAATTGTGGTATTTGAAGATTTAAAAGGAAAAAATATTACATTGAAAGCTGAAAACATCCATCATTTTGAAAAAAATGTTAAAACTCTAGTCATTTTTAGATGAAGAGAGTAGTAATTATAGGATATACATCCTCTCCGCTACTAGAAATTTTCCGTAAGAGATAAAAAAAATGATTAAACGCTATGTTAAATTTCTTTTTAGCATTTAACCCTTCTTTTTAATATATATCTCTTACTGTAAATTTCCCAGAGAAAGTACACACTCATTTATAGGGGTGCCACCTTTGTCAGAAAAATGACTCATTGTAAAAGGTGGTATTATGTCTGATCAGTGATCACCAACTGTTCCCGGCTTACGAACAAGAAAGTTGAGAGGAAGTTCAATCCAACACAGTTGACCCTGACCGAGTGTTCTGAATACAGACAAGAGTTCCACATTGTCCCTAGCATAGTTCTATTATGGAAGTTTCATTATCTGTGCCTAAAGTTTGGAAGTTTACCACTCTCAATATAAGGACTTCTTGAGCTGGAATTACAAGAAATTTAGACAACGTTGCTCCTACCTGATATAGTAGTACAAAAGACCAAGTGTAACAAGTCCCACATCGGGAAGGTCTCCTTACCAGGGAGGCCTTATAAGGCGGGAGGTTCTCCAACCTCTTGGGCCGGCTTTTGAGGGATGGTTCCCCTCCTTAGCCTTATGCTCGTTACAATGGTGCTTTCATTGAGAGCCAGCCAAATCGAGAAGGGCTACCCACGGAGGGTTCTGACCACCGGAGGGTTCTGACCGGCAAGGGCCGAGTGAAGTACCGGTGAGTAAAGTACCGTGGAGTGCAGCCATCGAGGACGCTGGCTTTCGAAGGGGGTGGTAATGTAACAAGTCCCACATCGGGAAGGTCTCCTTACCAGGGAGGCCTTATAAGGCGGGAGGTTCTCCAACCTCTTGGGCCGGCTTTTGAGGGATGGTTCCCCTCCTTAGCCTTATGCTCGTTACACCAAGGCATAGGAAATGCATTGGATGGTTATTGCTTTAAGAGTGTGTTTGTTCTTTACCATTCCCACTTTCCAATGCATGCTCAAACTTCAATGTCAATCCCTCTCACAATAGATGGGTGTTGAATGTGATTCAACAGAGATGCAAACACAACCTAAATCTCAACTCCATGATGTTCAAGGCATGTCATCATGTGAAAAATTAAAACTATGCCTATCATCTGAAGTGCATTTAAAAGGACATTTTTTTTTGCCAATAACTCATCAGTATGAGTGATATTGAATTTAATTTTCTTAGGCAAGATTTAAAATTTGACTTATGGATGAAAAAAATGTGATAAAAAAAACACACTATAGATAAGTCATTGGTAAAACATGTAAGTATTCCATACCAATAACTTAGTTATAAAACAAAATGACATTTTTTATTTTTATTTTTTTGTGCTAGTTTACAAGAGTAGATTTGAGAAAGACAAATCATGAGACAAGAATCAGGATACATAGAAAATGAAAAGATCTTCAAACTTATCATTGAACACAAGCCCGGCTCATATTTACAAAACATCAAATAGCAACTTCCTAGTCATGGGGGGCGGCATCTAAAAAAACACTAAAAAATATGAATAGGTTGCAAAATTTGCATTAAATACACCTCTAAGCAAATGAAATTACCTTTTAAGTTAAAGGACATATCACTACCCATCGATGTTTACATGCTTTGATCATATTTAGCAGTCAAGGTTGAAGTTGTGAGGGATGACATGGTAGTGTCATGGTTGTCTGATGAAGAGGATGTATGGTATATAGATGAATACTTCGGATCAATACTACTACTTTCTTGGTTCTTCCCAACTTTGAGGTCCATAAAGTCAGATATTAAGGCAGGCTTTGTTATCTTACTGTCATCAACATGCATTTTTCCAGTGAGCATCTTGACCACAGATGACATCGATGGCCGGAGCTTTGGCGATTCCTGCGTGCAAAGAAGGCCAATCTTCAGAAACTTACAAGCTTGCTCAGCATCGAATTCCCCATTCAGTGACATGTCTACCAGGCCGACCAATTCCTTTCGCTCATAAAGTTCCCATGTCTGTAAGAACAGAAGAAAAATAAATAAGAGAAGGTCCAGAAATCTCATATGATGCTTTAGAATATGATCACACTTATGCAATGAAATGCCAAAGCCTAGTAAATAAAATATTAAGTTAGCAAATCCAGATTACAAATAAGTCATAAGAAAGACTTGCTTCTTGAGAAAGGGAGAACAAACACAATCCTTTAACATTATAAACTGGATCAAAACACACTCAGTTATGGTCAAACCGATTAGGGAGTAAAGCTTTTATGTGTAGCTTTAACACTAGGAACTTCAGGTAAGTAATTGCTAAATGAATATGGTGAATTCAGGTTTAGTTAAAATATATTAAGATTGAATAAAGAAACTGGTTGTAAGAATTGGTGCTAGTAAAAGATACGTCAAAATGCAAATATGATTGAAAATACGAAATATACATACCCTCTCCAGAAGAAATTGTTCTTCTATTGGTAGCCGTGAATTTGTGTTGCATCTTCCACTTACTATCTCCACAAGGAGGACACCGAAGCTGTAGATGTCTGCTTTCCGTGTTAGCTTCCCCCCTATTGCATACTCGGGTGCTAAATACCCTCTGAAATAAACTATTCATCAGCAAATTTCTGATATAAAATATTTGATTAAAAAATATTACATGCTTGTGTAAACAGCAAAACAGAAGCATTCCTCTTCCTCAAGTAAGGAGGGAAAGATAGTGAATATAAACTATAGTGTCATCAATTGACATCAAAATGGATTGTTACAAAATAAATATTAAATATACAGGATGTGATCAATCTTGTCACAGGATGTGATCAATCTTGTCATATGTCAACTATATCCTAATTATTCTGTATAGTAGAATCTAATTCTGACCAATCAGAACATACCCCACAAGTGTTAACTTCCATGTTTTAGTCAAAGATCTTGAATAAAAAACCTGGGAATTGGGGGGAAGGTTCAAGTCTTCAAAATTGGAATTGCGAAGGTTGCTTTGCAGTTTCAAGGGGTAAAATAAAACAAACTAAAAAGCTTCCAATTTTTTCAGTGATTATAATTTACAATACTTACATTGTTCCTGCAACACGCGTGCTGACATGAGTCATATTTGCTGGAATAAGCTTCGCAAGACCAAAATCTGAAATCTTGGGTGTAAGATCTTTGTCAAGGAGGATATTGCTTGCTTTTATATCCCTATGAACAATAGGAGGCCGTACTTCTTCATGAAGGAAGGCAAGCCCACGTGCAACTCCAACACATATTTTACATCGTGTTCGCCAATCAAAGTAGATACTACTGTGACCTCCACCTGTAAAGAGAGAAAAAAATTGATTAGAAAAGAATTAGAGTAAGATTAAAAGAGTCGAAGACTAGTTAATAAAAGATATTGTCCGCTTTGGGCCCAAGTCCTCACGCTCAGAAGACTTTCGACACACACAATGAATCCCAAATTTAGATCCACCTGCTAACCATCATACCCGTCGAGCCGGTCACTTGATCAATACCACTTGTTGTGGTCCGAGGGGGTTACCACACATATACACATGTCTCCACATTGGTGAGATATTGTCCGCTTTGGGTCCACGGATTTGCTTTTGGATATCACCCAAAAAGCCTCTCAACCAACTGAGACAAGTGTGTGTATATAAACCTATGTCCATCCTCTTGTTTGAACGATGTGGGACTTTGCTTGCATCCCAACATATGAAACATTCACGTGTCTTCACTTAACAATTTAAGCTTTTAATATGGTTGGTTCATGACTTGGTATCAGATCCTCTATGACATGGTCTATAGTTCAATCCTTGAATCTCGTTCTTCTGATAATAAGTTGAATTTCAACACCAAAATAGGTAAGTCTATGCATTATCCACACTTTAAGCCCGAAAGGCTCGTGTGAGGCGGGGCCTTAACAGGTTATGTGTTCACTATGTTTGGTTCTGCAGTAACTTGGAAAGCTAACCTACAATCAGTGGTTTCTTTGTCAACAACTGAAGCTGAGTATATTGCCCTTACTGAAGGAGCCAAGGAAGGTTCATGGTTAAAAGGATTGATTGGTGATCTAGGTATAAATCAGTCTAGAGTTACCATAAATTGTGATAGCCAAAGTGCTATTCACTTAGCCAATCACCATACTTATCATGAAAGGACCAAACATATAGACATTAGATATCATTTCATCAGAGATATGATTGAAACAAGAAAGATTCAAGTTCTAAAGATTGCCACTGAAGACAACCCAGCTGATATGCTAACAAAGTCACTTCCTAGAGCTAAGTTCAAGCATTGCTTGGACTTGATCAATTTTTCAAGTTGATTGAAGCATGAATGTGAAGAGCAGAGCAGTTCTGGAGGTTCAAGGGTTCTTCTTCTTATTTGTTTTAAGAGTCAAGGTGGAGATTTGTTGATCTGTGTGACTCTAAAACAGAATTAAGTAAAAACAGTTTCTCAACTAACTCTTTATTATTGTTAGTTGGTTATTGGATTCTCTTGTATTCTATATATGTTTTTCCTTTCTTATTTTTCTCTCTTGTATGTAATATAAATACAAGTGAGTGGAAAGGGGTTAAGAGAAAAAAAAGGGTGAAAGTTACAAGGAGTGGTAGAACAAGAAAAGGGTTCTTGTGAGACTTGTGACTTGTATTGCTTGAGAATCATAGAAAATTGTTGCTGCTCTTCCCGTGGATGTAGGCCTCAAGGCTGAACCACGTAAAGCTTGGTGTTATTCTTTCTTTGTCCCTCATCTTTAATTTCTGCATTTTATAAACATTCTTGCATCTATGTGCATATGTGTGCATTAGTATTTTGTGGTTCTTGTATGCTTTAATCTTCTTGTTAGGTGTTATAAGCTGAAGGACCAACAGGGCCGGTTGAAGATATAGAATTTGTTTGGATACAAGCTTATAAGAGTTTTTATGAACTCCTCTACTAAAAATAAAGAGATTTTTCCAAAATAGAAGCTCTTAAAAGCTCTTCTAACTTGTATCCAAAGAGGTTCATAATATACAACCATTCATATATCTTCATCTAACATCTTAAGCCTTCGGGATAGTTGATTCATGACAAAAACCAATCCATGAATAAATCTTTCTTCTCAACTAATGCCAGAAAGCTTTAGCAAAAGGCTTTTTTCCAACAATATTTCAAGAGAACGGATCCTGAGAGATGAGACTACTTTCCAAGTAGGGGTGTGCAAAAAATCCAAATTGATCCGAACCGATCCATAACCGATCCGATCCATATTGAAAAATCCGATCCATTTTGAAAAAAAATCCGAACCGAACCACTTTATAAAATCGGTTCAGTTATCCGATCCATTTTTACAAAGTGGATTAGTTCGGTTCGGTTTGGTTTTCTAAAAAAACCGATCCATATATGAGTAAAAAAGTGGATAACTGCACCGCACCGAACCGATCCAATTTCAAAAAAAGCGATCCATATTTTAAAAAAACCAAACCGATCCACTTTATAAAAAATGGATCGGTTAACCGATCCACTTTTATAAAACGGTTCGGTTCGGTTTGGATCGGTTTTTTCAAAAAACCGATCCATGAACACCCCTATTTCCATGCATCATGCTAAGCAAGTAAGCATCAACAGATAAAACACAGACAGTTACCCAAATAAAATTAAAAAAAAAAAAATTTACCTAGAAGAGTTTGTGATAGGCTGTTATTCTCAAGGTAGTTGTAGACTAATATTCTGTTATTTTTCTCCACACAACAACCATATAACTTAACCAAATTTTCATGCTCTATCTCTGAGATCACATTAATCTCTGTCAAGAACTCCTTCACCCCTTGTCTTGATTCAGCCGAAAGAACTTTTATTGCAGCAACTTTTCCATCTTTGAGCCGTCCCTGATCATCAACCATAATAAGTTAAGGATTCATTGTCTTCCATTAGGAGGAGGAAAAAACAATGATCAGACCAATTGCTATGATGATGCATGCAGCGTGACCACATGATCTAGTTTACCTTGTAGACAGAACCAAAACCGCCCTCTCCAATTTTATTGACTGGACTAAAATCTTCAGTTGCATTTCTGAGTTCTTTGTAGGTGTAGATTCTAACATTATGAATGCCTGAAATATATATTCAAAATACATTCAGTTCAGAACCTAATACTCAACTAAAATCTAATATCGTAAGTAGATTTTTATCAATCAATTATATAATAGATATCTCAATTCGAGAACACAATCACATCCCTAGAAAATTAATCAAATTTAAGAAACTATACAATGCCATCTCAGTATAAACTATGTATAATGTACTGTAATTTATTATAGCCTGCAATTAAGTTACCTTCATCTATTTCTGGATCTTGTCTTCCTGAAGAAGATGATTTATTGAATAAGAAAGGAAAACAAGTCATAACTGAATGAAGTAATAGTAGCTTCAATCGTCAAATGGTATCAATTGCTTCCAAGGTCACCTGGTTGAACCATCAAAAAGTGTTACTGTTTTGAAGAATAACAAAGTGGAAAGTACATAAAACTAATCAAACATGATAAAAGATAATGCAAAATCTCAAGCCTTGCAAGAGCATAACAAAGTACATTCATGATTTTCTATAGCAGATTTGACATATATTCTGTTTAGAAAACTTCTCCAAAAACATTTAAAAATAAATAAAAAAGAAAAAATTAAATAACTTTTCCGTGAGCTAATTTGTATAAATTCTGTCATGTAACTTCTCCATAAGCTTGTTTTAAGTTATGGAGAATTTTATTTCATTTGTATTTCTCCTTTTTTTTCTCTTGAAATAGCTTCCAAATAAGCTTATCAAGAAGTTTATCCAAACCAGACGCATACAAAATCTAATAGCTGATACCATAGCTTAACACTTCACAATGCAAATTTTCAAATGAAAACCGTGCTTTTCACATGCTTCTCTTCATTCTTCACACTGATTCAACTTGGTGCAGCTTTTCACAGCTCAAAGAAGATCAATAACGAAAAACTGAACTAAATTCACCAGTGACTGAAACAGCATGTAGAAACCAAAGCTCAACCAAAAAAGCAAAACAACTTTTCAAATAAAACAAAAAAATCAGAAGCACCATCTTACCCCCAACAAACCAAAAAGGTAAAAAGATTGCAACTTTGCCAAGGACAAAAGAGAAATAAAACATACCACAAAGCCATGATTAAAGGGCACCCAAAGACAAGAAAAAAAACATACCTGAGACGACAGAGGAAGAAAGTGAAGACAGAAAACAAAGATGGGTTTGTAGAAGTTGTGGAGGAGATTCAGTGGAGAAAGCGTGATGATGGGGTTTTATTGTTGGATTAATGAATTAATGGAAGGGTCCATGAATGATCATGAAGCCATGAACCGACGCGTACTCGGTTTGAATCTTCTCTCTTTCCTTTTCGGACAAGACCAAGACCAAGGCAGCTTCAACCACTCGGTGTTTCATGGTACACCTAATATTTGCCAATATGCTTCTCTTTTCACGCTATCAACTACCTCCATTCACACGTAAATCCTGAATACACCATAGGATTTTTGCTTTTCATCACTTAATTGACCAGTACGAATGTACACTAGTAGGATCTATTTTTTTTTTTTGAACTAAAAATACTATATGCTAATGCCATAATTAAACTCTTTCTTTTTATACTATAAGATAAGATGATATCAAAGAAAATAACTACTTTGAATGATATAAAAAATTCTCAATAAGTATTTGACAAAACTTTTAATAAGATATACTAAAAGATTCAAACTTTTGGTGCTAATTAAAAACTATAACAACTACTCTCTCATACAATTAAATTATAACAACTTGGAACTTCAAGCGTGTGGTTCAGTGGTAGGGGTTGATCCACGCTTAAGTAAGGTCAGGGGTTCGAATCCTGCCTTGTGTATGCAGCCGGGTTAAATCTTGGGGTCAGCTATCTCACCTTTTGAGGTGCCTCCCTCGTAGCGAGGAGATTACCGCGTTAAATCTTGGGGTCAGCTATCTCACCTTTTGAAGTGCCTCCCTCCTAACGAGTAGGAACGAACCAAAAAAAAAAACCTATAACAACTTGGACCAATGAATCCACTAGTTGATTGATATACATTTATTGTATGGTTAGACTTGCACGTGTAACATATTGCTATTTTTTTATTTATTTTACTTTTTAAGTTGTAAAATTAGAAATCCCTCGTGCTCATTTATTACTACGGAAGTTTACGAGTGTGGAATGTACGGAGGACTTTATCACGAGTCTACGAATGGAAATTCGATTAAGATTGACTTCAAAAAAATACTTAATATACTTTTCTTAAACAGATTAATATACATCTACATTATCTTTTCTCTTATATCTGTTTTTTATTCTTATTTTTCTTCATTTTTTACTCTATCATATTATATATATATATTTTATATTATATTATATATATCTATATTATTTTCCCTATATTTTGTAATTGGTGGTAATTATTTTTTCGATTGATAATTGATAGCAGTTATTTATTATTTAAGACTGAAACGGTTTTTCAACATTTTTTAAATTTATTATTTTATGTGTGCAATGCATGGAATACTTCCTAGTTGAAAGACATTTCACTTCACACATATATATATATATATATATATATATATATATATATGCTAGTTGAAAAAAATCTTGAATATATTTTGACGATTCTTAAAGTATCATTTTTATTTTAATTCCCGATTAAAATATATTTATTTTTAAATCCTACATTGATAAAAATTGTATATCTTTATTCACTTGACAGAAATTAAAAAATTATATCTCTTTTATAATTTTCAAGACTAAAATAAATAAATTTCAACTGAAAATTAATATAAAAAAGTTATATTTTCAATATTTGCAAACATTTAAATGAAAAAAGAATCTTATCTTATTATTGACATGAAACTTATGCCTTAGATATTTTTCACTATTTCATAATCTGTACTTTTTTGTATTACTTTGTTTAACATACCTTGTTATGTTATTTTTTCGACATGATCATGATGTTATTTAAATTATAACGTTGTTACAATATTTTTAATTTCATTACCTTTTTAAGATAACCAAATTAAGAAGTAAATTATCCGTAAACATCCGTTTAGGATATATTAATTTTTTTTTTCTCCAATCATAAACTATACCTAATATCATGTTGACTCTCACGGTACAAATATTTTAATAAAGTTATATTTTCTGTGTAATTTTTTTATATTGTCAATCAATTAAAAATTATCATAATACAATTTAAAGAAAATTAGAAAATATAATAAATTTACCATATAATAATTATTAAATGACAATATCTTTTTATATCAGAATTATCAAATGACAATATACAACACCTTCACACTTTTAGTATATAAATAATATTTTTCCAAAAAATTATTTGCATGTTAAAATTATCATATATACTGATAAGAAAAAGAGACATTTTATTTTGTATTTATGTATGTCTATTTTTTAGAAGGGTTGAGAGAAGATGGTTATATAGTATGAATTTAGGAGTAAAATATAATAAAAAATAAAATCTGAAAAAATAATTGCTAAATGGTATTTCCTTAATAATAGGTACCGTAGATTTTCTTCTCAAATAACCAACTCAACATTATATTTAAATAACGCCTATATATATACCCTAGACCCTATATATACCCCCATTAGGAAAAGAAGAGTGTTACTAACTTTCTAACAAACTCTTACTATAACACACTCACTCTAATTATTATAAATTATTGAAAATTATGAAATTATAATAGAGGATCATTATATAAGACATGTGAAATTTTGTGTTTTTTTACTGAATTTTTAATTAATTAGAGAGTTTGTTATTAACTTTTCTCAACATGTTATTTTATTTTTCTTAAGAATACAGATTTTATTTAAAAGATACATTAATGGGAAAAATTATAATATAACAAAAAATATAATCATCTTTTAAAAAATGGACATCAAAAGGTGGTATATTGATATTCTTTTTACATATTGTTGACTAAACCCTAACCCTGAGTCATGTATCCTCCTATAATATCAAATATGTATTTTTTTTTCTTGTATTTTTAATTTTTTAAAATTTAATTTTCTTATTTTATATAATTCATAATTTTGGTTCTCTCACTACATGCTTATTTATTAATTGTTAAAATTATAAAATGACCTAACATTATATAAATGACACGACAGTTAATATTTAATAATATTTAAACTAAATTATATTTTTAATTATCTTTATCATCTTTTTGACATTTCATTTTACTGCTATTATGATAAAAAAAACTAAAAGTGTAATTTAGGTATAATATTATTAAATATTAATTGTTAAGTTTTTTTATTTATTATCAAATCATGATTAATATTACAATTTTAACTATTAATAAATGAATATTAATGAAGAACGAAAACTAAAATTATAAAATTAAAAATAACAAAATAAAAATTATAGATTTTAATATTATAGACGAATTAAACGTGTAATTTATGTCATAAATAATTAGAATACCCGAACAAAATATCTTAAGCTGTTTTATGCAAATTATTTTGGCACCAGCCAATTTCAAAAGAAAAAAAAAACAGCTCATATAAAAGAAAAATAGTTTAATAAATAAGCTGAATTAACAAATCGACAAATAGTTGTCCTCATGAAAACAAATTGGTCTAAAGTTTCAAACCTAAACGCATATCGTTAATTCAAAGTAAAATATATTAATAAAAACATTTTTAAATATAAATCACAGGTAAGTTTTACTTTAACGTACGCAATTCTATTCAAATAAGATATATTTATAAAACATTTGAAGTCAAGTAATGATAATTATATTTTAACTTTTTAATTTACTTTATATATCACCGTTGATCTATTACTTTATTTTTGTTTATTTGATTTTGTAACGACCTGCCATGGTCTCTACACTTAGTGAAATCACATTACTGTTAGTGAAATTAAGAAAAATATTAAGCTGGATAACTCATATATACATGTACAAATAAAATTGAAAATAATTAAGTTTCTGGTTATAAAATAAAACTTCATATATGTACAGTCATCCCAAAAATAATATTTCCTAGTGCCGGTCAAGCATAGACAAAACCGCTATCAAAATGATAACTCTAACACGAGGATCAAAACTCCTCGTCTCGCAGCAGACACCTCAACTCCAAGCTAGCCCTGACCTGCTCTCATACCAAGAATGATCATCGTAGTTCCACCACATGGAAACAGAAGGGAAAGCTAGAGTTTAAAAATCAATCATACAAGTACAGACAATAGTCTATACCACACAATCATCCAACTATCAATCATGTCCATAAAGTCACACCATACTCTCACTAGTACAGAAAGGGTCTTTTACGTCGTGTATTTTG